GTCAAAACTAGGGGTGTCCACAAAAGAAAATTTGGTACTTTTCAGGTTTGGGGTAAACCAAACCCGAAAAATATCGCTATATACCGATATTCCTGAATCCCGGTATCAGTAAGATACTGGGGTTTGGGAAAATTCAGTACTGCCTAATATATTCAGCCATTATACCCAATGGGGAAAGTCCCCATAGAGTATAAGGGCACTGGAGCCTTTCCTTCCCCAGTGCCCCACCACTAGTCAGTTTCACTCCCTGTGAATCAGCTGGGGAGTGAAATTGACCAGAGGAAGCAGCTGAGCTACTACAGAAGGGAAGACTCAGGAGGGAGGCTTCCCCTACCTGCCTGCCTGCCTTTCCAGATCTGCTTCCCCAGGCACTCTGGAGCTGCAGGGCACCTGGGGAAGCAAAGGGAAGGCAGTTTAAGCTGCCTCCCCTCCAGAGATCGTCTTCCCTAGGCACCCCACAGCTGCGGGGAAGGGAAGGGAGAGCTGGTCAGTTTCAGTCATTGCATTGCATTCCACTGACCATTGCATTGCATCCCCGATTCAGGGCCCAAATAAAAGCCGAATAAGATCAGCATTTGTTTGGGAGCACCTTATCAGCAGCCGAATCAGATAAGCTGCTTTTCGGATATTTCTTCAATTCGGCAAATCCGAACACACACCCCTAGACAAAACCCTAAGTTAACAGATACAAATTCACAACGAAGCAGGACTGGATTTGGAGGCACAGACTAGAGAGCTAGTGTGGTGTAGTGGTTAAAGTGTCAGACTAGGATCTGGCAGACCCAGGTTCGAATCTCCACTCGTGCCACGGAAGCTCCCTGGGTGACCTTGGGCCAGTCACACACACTCACCTTACCTCACAGGGTTCTTGTGAGGATAAAACAGAAGAGAGGGGAATGATGTAAGTCCCGATTGGGGAGAAAGGTGAGATATAAATTAAGTAAATAACTAGTGTTTCTACTCTGTAGCCTCTGCTTCTAGCTTGTTGTTTATTTGTGTCCTAACTTCCAATAAGGGTCATCTAATCCAGCCCTCTGCAGGAAATTCACAAATACCTCCTCCGACTCCCCCAGTGACCAGTGTTCCCTGTAAGCTGCGTTAGTGTGAGCTAGCTCAGTTTTTTAGCCTCCAGCTCACACATTTTTGCCTTAGCTCAGGAAGGAGGGCTCCAGAGCAAACTAATTTCTGCAGCAGCCACATCGCTCGCTCGCAGCTTTAATGCCAGTCGCTCACAAAGTAGAATTTTTGCTCACCAGACTCCACAGCTTAGAGGAAGCATGGCCAGTGACCCCTGCTCTATGCCCAGAGGAAGGCAAAAAAACCCTCCAGAATCCATGGGCCCCAGAAGGTCGGACTGCAGAAGAGCCACAAGAGCCAAGCACTGTCTCATCCCTTCCTGCCCTCCCTCTCATGGTTTGCCCGAATTCATAGTGAGTCACAGAATCAGCATTGCTGCCAGATGGCCATCTAGCCTCTGCTTCAAAATCTCCAAAGAAGGAAGCCCACCACCTCCCAAGGAAGCCTGTTTCACTGAGGAACCGCCCTAATTGTCAGGAAGTTCTTCCGAATATTTAGCCCCAAATTCCTTTGTAAGAGAACTGCTACTCTTAGGTCAGCAACTGAATGTCCTGCAAGGTTAAAAAGTTCCCCCACTGGCCTTTGAATGTTGTGGTTTCTAATAGCAGAAAGAGTAAGAGTCCAGTAGCACCTTAAAGACTAACAAAATTTGTGGCAGGGGATGAGCTTTCACAATTCACTGTTCACTTCTGTAGACTTATTTCCATTTATCCTTTGCATCCTCCAGCACTGAATCCTCCTGGACCAAAATGAGACCTAGGCTTCCTGTCTCATTACCAATGCTGATAACTCCACGCCTGCTATCCCTCTGTATATCACACCTAATCCAAACAATGGCCTGCTGTTGCCATTCAGCATCTGAAATCATCTTTATAAAGTTTATATCTCCAGTACCTTGTGTTACATTTTAAGGCACACATGGCCCAGGACAGCAAAGTGACATTTATGTTAGATCCATCCCTTGTTACAAATGAATTCAACCCCTCTGATCTAAGTAATAGGCCCTTTCTGCACTTTATTTTTTAATCCATGCTCACCACGGTGTCCTCCTAGCAATTCTGCACTAAAATTGAATTAAGCCTTCTTTTTAACCCACTTCCCCCCCCCATCCTTCACTAAAATCCCATTCATACTTTTTAAAACCCCCCCCATTCTGTATTACATTACCTTCCTTCAGTGGTCAGCCAGGTCTCAGAGTTATTTGGATGTTGTTTTGCCCTGGACTTAAATTGCCTTGACTAGAACACTGAGAAAATCCGGAGTGGCAGGCAGATGCGGAAGGGACCACAGCCTGTTGCGTTCGTAACATTTACTGCATTCTTTTTCCTCCCCCCCAAGCTGATAAAATATTGGGAGGCGTTCCTCCCCGAAGCCAAAGCCATTGCCTAGGAAGAAGACTATTCCACGTACGAAGACTCTCTCCGGGTTCTTTGTCCTGACCGAGCTCAACTCCACAGTGAAATCCACTTTAAAATCATCCAAATAAACCACTATATATTTTATGACTTCAACATGTGGCTTTTTATATACTGCAGCGTTTCCCCCCCCTCAATGGCTGCATGTCCTGCCCCCCTCCTCCGGGGACCGTGGCATGACGTTCTGCAATACTTGCTGAATTGAACACTATCGTGTCTTAATATTTGCACTGGAAGGTGCGATGCGAAGCCAGAAAGTTATTTTTGTCCTTTCCAGTCTATGTCCGTCCTGTCGACTTGATCTTTACGAGACAAAATTGCATTTATTAATGTTCACATACACATTCCTGTACATAATCAAGATTTTTTTGTGATTACAGTAATAAAGGGATGTACCTTGTGCAACATTGACCATTTCTCAACTTCCTTTCTTTCCGAGGCGACTTAAGCAATTTAAGCAGGTCTGTAGCCCTCAGGAGTCATATCAGTCATGCCCACCGAGACTAGACTCTTGTCCATTTTTAAAAGGTGATTTAATTTTCTTTAAAAGGGAATCTAAGAATTTTAACGTCATAGAATGTTAGAGTTGGAAGGGACCTTCCAGGTCATCTAGTCCAACCCCCTGCACTCTGCAGGAGCGTAGCTGAAAGATAGCCCTACATACCTACAACACCCCCGAAAGATGGTCGTCCAGCCTCCGATTGAATGAGCTGTGATTTTGAGATAGGTAGCCGTGTTGGTCTGAAGCCGCAGGACAAAGTTCGAGCCCTCTCACTCTCTACCAGTTTGGCGTAGTGGCTCAGTGCACAGACTCTAATCTGGGAGAACCGGGTTTTATTCCCCACTCTTCCACATGCAGCTGCTGGCGTGACCCTGGGTCAGCCACAGTTCTCTCAGAGCTGTTCTCTCAAGGGCAGTTCTCGAAAGAGCTCTCTCAGCCCCACCTACCTCACAGGGTGTCTGTTGTGGGGAGGGGGAGGGAAGGAGATTGTAAGCGGTTCTGAGACTCCGAGTGAAGAGTGAAGTATAAATCCAATCTCTTCTTCTTCTACTTACATGCATAGACTGGTAACTTCCATTTCAACGTAACTGAAGAAGTGTGTGTAGTTGCACACGAAAGCTTATACCTTGAATAAAACTTTGGTCTTGAAGGTGCCACTGGACTCAAACTCTGTCCAGTGATTTTGAGAGAAACTGTTCAGCGGCTCCGCCATAGCTTTCTTTCATGCTGAGAGCAAGCCGTCGAAATAATTCTGCATCAAATTATGCAAAGTCCTCTGTGCAGATACAAAAATAACTGCACGAGTGCATATCACGAACGTCAAGGCTTTTATACCTGGAATTACTAAGTTTGCAGCTGGAGAGCCGGTGTGGTTTAGTAGTTAGAGTTTCCAACCGGGATCTGCGAGACCCGGGTTTGAATCCTCACATTGCCGTGGAAGCTTGCTGGGGTGACCTTGGACAAAAGAAGTGGCTGCCTGCAAACACAGCAAGCTTGCCACAGCCGGTGGTGGTATGACTCTTTCGCCACCGCCAGCTTGCTCTCCTTTTGGCAATCTCAGGCCCCGGTCACACAGGCCAGTTAACACGGGGAGGAGGCATGGCTATTAGCGCCATCGCAATTTGGGCCGCTGCAATGCGATCAGACGTGATGGCGGCAAACCGCGTTGTTTTCATTGGCGCATGGTTCTTGCAGCGCTTCAACAGGGCAAAAGGAATGCGCTGGGGCGATCAGACGAAGAGTCTGCGTGCTTAACCACTACACCAAACTGCTGTTATGTATTGGTGTGGTGGTTAGGAGCGCAGGCTCTAATCTCGGAGAATCAGGTTTGATTCTCCCCTCCGCATCCACATAAAGCCAGCTGGGTGACCTTAAGTCAGTCACAAGTTCTCTCAGAGCTGTTGTATCAAGAGCTGTTCTCGAAAGAGCTCCCTCAGCCCCACCTACCTCACAGGGCGTCTGTTGTGGGGAGGGGAAGGGAAAGGAGACTGTAAGCCACTGTGAGTGAAGGGTGGGTATAAATTCAATCTCTTCCTCCTCCTCTTCTCCTCCTCCTCCTCCTCTGAGCATGTTCTCCCCTTCTCCGTTTTTCTCACAACCACCACCTTGTGAGGTAGATTAGAGTGGGCGTGCCTGCCCCATGCAGGGCTCAGTGGTGATTTGAACCCAGCTCATAGCGCAAAACTTAAAAAAAAAAAACCTTGCCTTTTAATGGGGCAGTCCATGGATATGCTATGTAACTTTGCAATAAACATTTGCATGTATGATTCCGAATCACAGGAATCCTTACCGAGCCATGCTTTTTGTCCACGGCAAACAGCAAAATGGAGACTCCGTCTTTCCCTGGTGATACGTGATTTAACAGTGGATATTTGAAGGCTTTGTGTAAAACTCCATGTGAAAAACCACTGGACTCCACAAGGACCCGTGCTTCAGATCCATGGCTGCCCATAAAGCTTGTGTCACAAAGTGGTGGATCTTTCGTGATGCAGTAAATGGACGTGGATATGACGTACGTCGAATATCGGGGGCAGTTACGTACAGAGCTTCAGGATCCATGTGTTTGCACTGATAAGAAGAAGAAGAGATTGGATTTATACCCCGCCCTTCACTTGGAGTCTCAGAGCGGCTTACAAACTCCTCTCCCTTCCCCTCCCCACAACAGACACCCCATGAGGTAGGTGGGGCTGAGAGAAACTGCTCTTTTTCAAGAACAGCTCTTATCAGAACTATGGCTTGCCCAAGGTCACATCAGCAGGTGCAAGTGGAGGAGTGGGGACTCAAACCCGGTTCTCCCAGATTAGAGTCCACACACTTAACCACTACACCAAACTGGCTCTCTGTGCCCAGGTGTTTGATAGTACCTTCAGAGTACAGGGCAGTGATGTATGCTTTGGCAATGAGAACGGGAGAGGCGATAGTGAAAACAAAAGCTGTGAGGATCCGTGATTTTTTAAGATTCACTTCTTCCTCTGTGAAGGTACCACAAAGCAGTGAATCCCAGTATCTGAGAGAAGCCAGTTTGGTGTAGTGCAGCGCTTCTCAACCTGTGGGTCGCTACCCCTTTGGGGGTCGAACGACTCTTTCACAGGGGTCGCCTAAGACCATCGGAAAACACGAATTTTCGATGGTCTTAGGATAGGGCTCCCAAGTCTGGCCAAATGGCAGCGGGGGATCGCGTCCTGCATATCAGATATTTACATTACGATTCAGAACAGTAGCAAAATTACAGTTATGAAGTAGCAACGAAAATAATTTTATGGTTGGGGGTCACCACAACATGAGGAACTGTATTAAAGGGTCGTGGCATCAGGACGGTTGTGAACCACTGGTGTAGTGGTTAAGAGCGTGGACTCTAATCTGGGAGAACTTGGTTTGATTCCCCACTCCTCCACGTGCAGCTGCTGGCGTGACCTTGGGTCAGTCACAAGTTCTCTCTGTTCTGGACAGAGCAGTTCTCTCAGCGCTGTCTCAGCCCCACCTACCTCACAGGGTGTCTGTTGTGGGGAGGGGAAGGGAAAGGAGATTGTAAGCCGCTCTGAGACGCCTTTGGGTAGTGAAGGGTGGGGTATAAATCCAATCTCCTCCTCTTCTCTTCTTATTTTGTGGGACAGGATTCATTTGTGGTGGCGAAACATGCTGAGCTGGTTTCGCCCTCCAGTCGGCTTTCCCTGAGGTATAAATAGACTTACGTGACCTAAATCCGCGGCATTATCTTTTTAAACATGGTGCTGCCAAAGCTTACGGACAGCAACTCCAGGGCTTCTTAGGGGCGAAACCAAGATGCCAAAGGCAATCTCCCTTTAACGCTTACCACAACTGTGACGGGCGCTGGGCCCTTCCGAGAGACCGAACATCCTTCTGCCCTGTTAAGCCCTGTCTTGCCACAAAGATAACATGAGGTGTGAACTAACTTTATTGGCGACCAAAAGATTGGCTCACCAGAAGAACCGGAGAGCAACAGATATTTAACACCAGCCAGTCCGAGAGCGGACTGCCGACTACAGCTGCCAAGCCAGAAGACGTCCGGTGGAGCACAGAATCGGGAACCCGCCTTAAAAGGTACCGTAACACTCCTGACAGGGCTATACCATGCCCTGCACCCCCCTGGCCAAGAGTGCATGCTGTCTGTCTGGCTTCATTCTTTTTTATTTTCAACACTTTTTTATTGAAGTATTAAAAATGCATACAACTGTTAAAGTAAGATAAAACCACTTCAATTTTAACAAAAATTAGCTAGTACTAATAACAACATAATCTATACATCAATCATCAAGAACAAATATATAATCAACATTTAACTAAACTCAATATTGTACTGGATATCATTATATTTCGGAGAAGAAGATTCTTTAACAATAAATCAGGTAAATATTAAGCTTTGACCAACCTTTTAACACTACTTTTCACTGTGTAGATTATTGACCTATTATATCTAGCTTCATTCTTGACCCTGGCAAACCACTGGGATGACAGAATGCAGAAACTTGGCCCAATCTATGGTGGGAGGGGAGGATTCCGAGGTTGCTAGGTAACAGCACCAGATAAAAAGGGAGATAATTCAGCCAGCATGGGGCAGACGTTTGTGGGGCGGGGGACTCTGCAGAAGGGGATGGAGTCTGTTTGCCTGCCTATCTATTTGCCCCCATAGATGGAGCCGTGGAGGCAGGGAAGGGAACCGACAAGTTTCCTTCGATAACAGTCCAAGCCGGTAAGGGGTGGGGTCAACAAGGAGGAGGTAGAAAGTTGAAGATAGGCTCGGTGATCTCCCCCCCCCCGGCCCCCAGCCTCCATTGTTTAAAAGGGGGGAGTGGTTTGATTCCCCGCTCCTCCACATGCAGCTGCTGGTGTGACCTTGGGTCAGTCACAAGTTCCATCAGAGCTGTTCTCTCAGGAGCAGTCCTCAAAAGAGCTCTCTCAGCCCCACCTACCTGTGTATTTGGGTGCTATTTAACAGAGGTTCAGGAGTCTCAGCCAGTATGGTGTAGTGGTTAAGTGCGCAGACTCTAACCTGGGAGAACTGGGTTTGATTCCCCACTCCTCCACTTGCACCTGCTGATGTGACCTTGGGCAAGCCGTAGTTCTGATAAGAGCTGTTCTTGAAAAAGAGCAGTTTCTGAAAAGAGCTCTCTCAACCCAACCTGCCTCACAGGGTGTCTGTTGTGGGGAGGGGAAGGGAAAGGAGTTTGTAAGCCGCTCTGAGACTCCAAGTGAAGGGCGGGGTAGAAATCCAATCTTTTCTTCTTCTGTAAGGCAGCTTCATGTGATCGAGTGATATGATCACTGTAGTGTATCCAGTTCAGACCGCGTGGCAGACTAGGGCTCCATGCGGTCCGGCATAACCCTCGAGCTTTGCTCAGAAGAACAATGGACTATGTGGATCCTAGCCCACACCAATCAGAGGGCTAGGTTCCCGGCCGAGAGCCTGTGGGACTCTTGGCCACTGTAAATAGTCTATTGCGTTGTGGGGGGGGGTGTTTTGGGTGGTGGTTTCTCAGGGAATGTAAGCTGGCCTGCGAGTCGGCTAAAGTTGTCTTGTTCCACACAAACAAAAGTGTGTAAACTGAAATCACTCATCCGTCTGCGTACTTTTCAATCATCTTAAAGACCGACTTACATCTGGTTGTTCTTTTAGGTGCAACTGGACAGTGTAATTTATGCTATTGACGAAGCTGTTTTTTTATAAATAATATATATTTTCCTTGGGCAGTTTTGCTATGGGTTGTCGAAGGCTTTCACAGCCGGAGTTCATTAGTAGTTGTAGCTTTTCTGGGCTGTATGGAGATTGGGCATGCGGGGAAATGTGAGCTCCCTGGACTTAAAGGGGCCCCTTTAAATGCAGGGAGCTGGTGTTCAGGCACGCAGGGTGATCGGGCGCGCAGGTGGGGGGGGGCGGACGTCCCCAGCGTGACATCATCATGTCGGGGATGCCCCGCCCCCTCCAGGAACGCCCCCCAAAGTCCCCCACTGGGAGGCGAAGATGGACTTGGCAACCCTAGGTTGGCCACTGTGTGAAACAGGATGCTGGACTAGATGGACAAATAGTCTGATCTAGCAGGGCTCTTTTTATGTTCTTATGAAGGCCTCGGTCTCTGTGCCCTGTTGTTGGACCACCAGAGGAACTGGTTGGCCTCTGTGTGAGACAGGAGGCTGGACTAGATGGACCCTCAGAGTTCTGACCCTGCAGGGCTCTTCTGATGGTCTTATGAAGGCCTCGGTCTCTCTGCCCTGTTGTTGGCTCTCCGGAGGAACTGGTCGGCTGCTGTGTGAGGCAGGATGCTGGGCTAGATGGACCGCTGGTCTGATCCAGCAGGGCTCTTCTGATGTTCTTAAGTGGTCTCCAGGTGCCTCCTGAAGATTGGCAAGCATATCTGACCACCTTGCCTGTCTCATAGGTCACCACCGCGACACCCAGCCCGAGGAGCAGCCAAAGACTGAATCGGGACATCAGGGTGGACTCACCGGCGCGTCAGAGAGAGCTGGTGTTCCCGGACAGCTCATCTCTTCACAAGGACTCTTCCTCTACCAGCGCCCCCACCCCCCGCCAGCTTTATCCGAAGAGGCCAGCACAAACCCATCTTTCATGGCTACTCTCCTGCGTTCCTTGCTGGCCTTCGACCATTGGGCCTCCAACCAGCTGGGGGTGTGCACGAGAGAGGATTCGCCTTGGGCCTGTGGCCGCCCCCTCATGAAGATCATAGAGTTCTCGGGGCACGGTGTCCCATGGCTGGCCGCCACGTTGTGCGGCCTCTACGTCAATCGCAGTCCAGCAGGCAGAGAGCTGCTGATCAACATGCTCTTTGGTAAGACCTCCACATCGCCTCTATCCCCCCTGACGTGGTAGGTCTCTCTAATATCAACTGAGATTGTTTCAAGAGGGTTGCTGTAGAGTCAAATCCAGGGCTATTTTTGGGCAGGAACGCACAGGAACGGAGTTCTGGCTGGCTCCTGAGTTGGCCACGCCCAGCAGGAACTCATTAGCATAATAGGCCACACCCAACAGCAGGAACTCATTAGGATTGGCTACATTAGGGGCGTGTGGGCTAACATGCAAAGGAGTTCCTGCTACAAAAAAAGCCCTGGGTTTGGACAACAAACAAGGTAAGCAGAATAAGAAGCAAAAGATGGGTGTGGCTGGATGAGCACTCTTCTGGTAACATGGGGGTGCGGCCTAATGTGCTAATGAGCTGTGCTGTCAGGGGTGTGGCCTTATATGCTAATGAGTTTATGCTGTTGGGTGTGGCCTATTATGCTAATGAGTTCCTGCTGGGCTTTTTCTACAAAAAGAGCCCTGGTCAAATCCAGTAGCGACCTGGAGACCAAGGGTATAATCACAGATTCACAGAGTCGGAAGGGGCCATACAGGCCATCTAGTCCAACCCCGTGCTCAATGGAGGATCAGCCTAGAGCGTCCCTGACCAGTGTTTGTCCAGCCGCTGCTTCAAGACAGCCAATGAGGGAGGGGGAGGAGGAGACTGGATTTCTACCCCGCCCTTCACTCGGAGTCTCAGAGCAGCTTGCAGTCTCCTTTCCCTTCCCCTCCCCACAACAGACACCCTGTGAGGTAGGCGGGGCTGAGAGAGCTCTCTCGAGAACTGCCCTTGAGAGAACAGCTCTGACAGGACTATGGCTTGCCCGAGGTCATCCAGCAGCTGCGAGGGGAGAAGTGGGGAATTGAACCCGGTTCTGCCAGATTAGAGCCCACGCACTTAACCACTCCACCAAACTGGCTCCCTAGGCAGCTGATTCCACTGTTGCACAAACTCTTACTGTCAAAACGTTTTTCCTAATATCCAGCAGGTACCTTCCCTCCCTTAATTCAAACCCATTCTTGTGCGTCCTCTCCTCTGCTGCCAGCAGGAACAGTTCCCTGCCCTCCTCTAAGTGACAGACCTCCAAATACTTCAAGAGAACCATCCTGTCCTCCCTCAACCTCCTCTTCTCCAGACTGAACCTTCCCAAGTCCCTCCGCCTTTCCTCACAGGGCTTGGTCTAAGCTTTTGAGAATCGACGCTTCCTTTGTCAGGCGGAGGGCTATTTCGGGGCAGGAACGCACAGGAACGGAGTTCTGGCTGGCTTCAGAGTTGGCCACGCCCACTACAGCCAAAACCTCTGCGTGTGTGGCTACAGAGGGGAAGGCCAGGAGAGTGACCACCCTTCAGCGACTCCGAGGCGGGCGGGCCAGGGAGGGCTCTGGAAGGATTGTTTGTAATCCCAACAAATCATTAACAGCTCGTCAGTAACTGCTTTTACAATGAAAGTAAGGAAGCATAAAAAACTGACTCATCAAGTCTCTAGTTTCTCATTGTTATTCATAAGCCAGTAGTCGAAAGCATTAAATTAAAGTCTTGTGAACAAAACCCTTGAAGGGAGGTCTATTATAATAATGATAATGATAATGATAATAATATCTTTCGATTTATTAATAGCTCAATCCTGCAGAGCTGCTGGCTCTGAGCGATTTACAGTTACACATATTAACAAGGGACTAACAATGATTCATAGGGGGTAAGGGAGGACAACATATAAATCTTAAGTCGCACACGTTTGCAGCCGACGGGGTTTTTGTTCAGCTGTAGATTTAGACGTGTTCCAGACGGCATTCACTCGGCTTGGCTGGATGATGTCAGTTTTTCCAGGACTGCTTCGAGTCACAGTGTTGCACTGCCACCGCCTGGCCGGATTGGCCCATCGCAGGCTTCTTAATGCCAAAGAGATCTTTCCAGGCTTCCAAGCTTACGAGCTGGACATTCTGTTTCGCCGGCTAACACCTCCCCCCACCGGGTTTTTTTAGGAATAGCAGGTCTTTTGTTAATGTCGAACCAGGATGTCGACCAGTTTTCAATGAATTGTTTAGACTGTGATAACCCTTTCAAGCTGGCCCATATCTACAGCGGGGCTACTGGGGGCTCTGCCCTCTTCCTTATCGGGCAAGCCCCCACATACACACACCCCTGCTTCTTCTCAAAAGCATTTAAAGGGATCCTTTATGGCAGCCCCACCAGAAAATTTTTTGCCCTGCAAGCCACAAGGCCCTGGTTACAGGCCTGCTTTCAAGCTTCTCATAGAATCGTAGAATTGGAACGGACCTCCAGGGCCATCTAGTCCAGCCCCCTGCACAATGCAGGGAATTCACAGATACCTCCCCCTCCACACCCCCAGTGACCCCTTCTCCGTGCCCAGAAGAAGACAAAAAAGAAAAAGAAACCCTCCAGGATCCCTGGCCAAAGTGGCCTGGTGAAAATTTCTTCCTGATCCCAGAGTGGTGATCAGCATTGCCCCGGGTATGTAAGAAAAGGCCACAAGAACTAAACACCGAGGCAAACCTTCCTGCCCTCCCTCTCATGATCTGCCTAAATTCACAGAACCTTTACAATATTGCTAAGGAAATTCTAACATTTCCAACGTCCTCAATGAGCATCTGGTTATACACTCATTTCACCAGTCTTCCTCGGGAGTAATCCTATTGTGTCGGAAGGTGTGTCAGCCTCTTGATACAGCTTAACTTCTTTTATTGCTTCCTTCAAACAGTTCCAGTTTAACTACTTTTTTTACTTTCTTCAAATTATTGCAGCTTAACTTCTTTTTTAATTTCCTCAAATTATCTTCCAGTTCCATTGCGTTTGAATTAGGAGCAAGCCACTTAATTTCTAGTAGTAGCAAATGTCTAGTAGTTATACAAATGGATGTTCATGGGATTTATTAAATGTTATTGTCATTTTCATCACAGTGCTTCTTTGTTTGATATAATTCCCTGTAACTGTGATCCTTTCTTTGGTTAACATAAGAACATAAGAGAGGCCAATGTTGGATCAGGCCAAAGGCCCATCCAGTCCAACACTCTGTCACACGGTGGCCAAAAATACCAGGTGCCATCAGGAGGTCCACCAGTGGGGCCAGGACATTAGAAACCCTCCCACTGTTGACCCCCACCCCAAGCACCAAGAAGCAGAGGTCGTTTCGGGGGGGAATTGCGGGGGATCACAGTTCCCCCGGGTGAGGTACGGGGGCCGGGGCACATGACGAAGCCCCGCCCCCTGCTTCCGGCCACCCCGCTTCCGGCCCTCATTCAGCCAGGAGGAGGCAGGAGAAGAGGGAGGGTAAGTTGCTTCCTCCCTGCCTCTCCCCACCCCTGCCTGCCTGGGGCCAGGGAGGGCCTTCGCGGGGCTTCCTTGCACTCCCGCCAGCCTTGCAGGTCCACCGCCGGGCCCCTCATGGGGCTCGGCAGTGGAGCTGCAAGGCCGGCGGCGGCGGCCGGGACCGTTGGGGGCGGGGTGTGTGGCCTTATGACACACTTCCGGTGATGTCAGGGGGTGTGGCCTTATGACACACTTCCGGTGATGTCAGGGGGTGTGGCATATGCTAATGAGTTATGCTAATGAGTTCCCCTAGCTCTTTTTCTATGAAACGACCCCTGCCAAGAAGACAGAGCATCACTTGCCCCAGAGTCCCTATCTATACCTTGTGGCTAATAGCCACTGATGGACCTCACCTCTATATGCATATCTAATTCCCTTTGGAAGCCGTCCATGCTTGTAGCCGCCACCACGTCCTGTGGCAGTGAATTCCAAGTGTTAATCACTCTTTGGCTGAAGAAGTACTTCCTTTTACCCATTCTAACCCGATCGCTCAGCAATTTCATTGAGTGCCCACGAGTTCTTGTCTCTTGAGAAAGGGAGAAAAGGACCTCTTTCTCTACCTGCTCTATCCCATGCATAATCTTATAAACCTCGATCATGTCGCCCCTCAGTCGTCGTTTCTCCAAACTAAAGAGCCCCAAGCGCCTTAACCTTTCCTCACAGGGAAAGTGTTCCAACCCTTTTATCATTCGAGTCGCCCTTTTCTGCACTTTTTCCAAAGCTGTAATATCCTTTTTAAGGTGTGGTGACCAGAACTGCACACAGTATTCCAGATGAGGTCGCACCACTGATTTACATAGGGGCATTATGATATTGGCTGATCTGTTTTCAATACCCTTCCTAATAATCCCCAGCATACTAAATTCACAGGACCAGCCTGTTCGGTACTTTTTTCCTTTTCTTTTTCCTATTTGTATTTCTATCCCGCCCTCCCCGTAGGCTCAGGGCGGCTTGCAAGTCATATTACCAAATCATAACATAACATAAAACAATACATACATTAAGGTTTTTAAAACCAGTTATAATCATAGAAAAATAGATTCAGTACTCCTCGCATAAAAACCAAGATGGCTATCTCTTGAAATCTCATTCAAGTGCTCAACCTCCAGATTACCCTGTACCCAGATTCTAGTGCGTTGATGGTGCCATGGCGTTGGGGGTACCATGGCGGTGGCGGCTCCTATTCGAACGCCTGGCGGAAGAGCTCCGTCTTGCAGGCTCTGCGGAACTGTGCTAGGTCCCGCAGAGCCCTGATCTCCTCTGGGAGCGCGTTCCACCAGATAGGAGCCGCCACTGAAAACGCCCTATTCCTGGTCACAACGCATTTAATAGCTCGGGGACCTGGTACATCCAGCAAGTTCTGCTTCCCCGACCGTAGTGCTCTTGGGAGTGGCAAGAGTTTTCTATAGCAAGTAGGTGTTGTCTTACTGTTTGGGCTACAATCACTTTGTTCCATAGCCATCCTAAACAGAATTAATCCCTGTAAATCCAATGAAATCCATGGGTTTAGCAGGGCGGGACTCGTTTTAGGACTGCCCTGTTTGTCTCCTGTGGCTTACGACGGTGCTCTTTCCAAACATCTGAAATCTCTTCATCTGTCTCCCAGCTCTGGTGCTCGACCTCATTTCGGTGGGACTGCTGAAAGGGCTGGTGAAAAGGAAGCGCCCCGCCGACAACAAGATGGACATGTTCGCCACTGTCTCCGTAGACCAATATTCCTTCCCGTCCGGTCACGCTACCAGAGCAGCCATGGTCTCCAGATTCGTCCTCCACCATCTTACACTGCCTGCCCCTCTGCAGGTCCTGGTGGTCTTTTGGGCCCCTGTCGTGGGGTTGTCCCGAATTATGCTGGGCAGACACAATGTGACCGATGTGATCTTTGGGCTCGCCATGGGCTACGTGCAGTACAGCGTGGTGGAGTACTTCTGGTTGTCCCCCGTCACGGCTCCGGCTCTCTTTGCGGCATGGGGAGAGTCCAAGTGCTTGTCGCGCAACCTGTGAAAATTCGTCGAGTTTCACCGGGCAGCAGGCCTCATGGATGGACCTAGCCCCAACTCATTCCAAGAGGCACTTTGGCCCAGAAGACTCAGTTGGTGTTACCTTGTTCTCTGAATGGACAGAGAGTAGCCCGTACCACTGCACAAACAGGTAGTAAAATTGGACGCTGGGATTCTGACGCTCCTTAGCCTCTTGTTCTCTACATATTGTTTTTCCTCCCCGTGGACTTGTGTCTGGCAATGTTCCCTGTGAACTGGCCAGGTACACATCTAAGAAAGGGAACTTTGGCCCTTCAAAAATTCTACCCTGAAAATCTTTTTTTTTTAAATTTTTAAATTATTTCCCCGGGAGGGAGGGGGGGCTACCAAAGGGAAAAAGGGGTAGGGGAAAATATAATTCATCAGGTTTGTCAAATACTATGAGTTACTACGTACAACAAGTAAGATCAGGTGTATTACCAAATGTATTACACATTTCAAATATAGAAGCAGACATTAAAACATCAAAATGACAACATTTTGGGATAGGTTCTCTCTTTAAAGAATGAACAAGAACTTTCATAGAATCATAGAATGTGAGAGTTGGAAGGGATCTTGCAGGTCATCTAGTCCAACCCCCTGCACTCTGCAGGAGCACAGCCGAAAGATAGCCCTACAACATACCCAAAAGATGGTCGTCCACCCTCCACTTGAAAAAGTCCAGCGAAGGAGCATCAACCACCTCCCGAGGCAGACTGTTCCACTGCTCAACCACTCTTAACAGCTGAATGAGCTTCTGTGCTAAAATTGAATCATTATGAAAACCTTAATATTGTTTATCTAAATCTAAATTTTATTCGTACTAATTATTTGAATACTAGTGGGATACAGAATCAGGCATCGGAACTATAATCAATACCTTCATCACCTTTAATATGAAATTCAGGTTATTCCAGAACTTAATTTTTTAAGAAATTAATTATTCCCATAGTATGAGTAATAGGGCTTCCCATTTCTGTTGAAATTCTTTCAAGGGTCTTTTGTTTATATAATTGCTTACCCTGAAAATCTTGTTCGTCTCTAAGATGCCACCGGATTTTAGCCCTTGTAGTGCAGACCAACACAGTTTCCCTCTGAGGCCAACTCGTGGGCACTCAATGAAATTGCTGAGCAGTCTGGTTAGAATGGATAAAAGAAAGTCCTTCACCCAAAGAGTGATTAACACATGGAATTCACTGCCACAGGAGGTGGCGGTGGCTACAAGCATGGACGGCTTCAAGAGGGAATTAGATAAGCATATGGAGCAGAGGTCCATCAGTGGCTATTAGCCACAACCAGGGCTATTTTTGGGCAGGAACGCACAGGAACGGAGTTCCGGCTGGCTCCCGAGTTGGCCACACCCATCAGGAACTCATTAGCATAATAGGCCACACTCAACAGCAGGAACTCATTAGCAGGGGTCATTTCGTAGAAAAAGAGCTAGGGGGACTCATTAGCATAACTCATTAGCATATACCACACCCCCTGACATCACCGGAAGTGTGTCCTCCCCACAGCCGGCGGCGACCTCCAGCGGGCACCAGCAGGGAGCTCCAGGCCCCGCCCTCCCGCACTTCACCCGGGGGGATGGCGTCCCCCCGCGTCCCCCCCCCAAATGACCCCTGCTCATTAGGATTGGCTACAATTAGGGGTGTATGACCTAACATGCAAAAAGCCCTGGGTTTTGACAACAAACAAGGAAAACAGAATAAGAAGCAAAAGCTGGGTGTGGCTGGATGACCACACTTCTGGTAACATGGGGTGTGTGGCCTAATATGTATTGTCATGGGTGTGGCCTAATATGCTAATGAGTTTCTGCTGTTGGGTGTGGTCTATTATGCTAATGAGTTCCTGCTGGGCTTTTTCTACAAAAAAAGCCCTGGCCACAAGGTATAGATAGGGGCTCTGGGGCAAATTCTGGCCGATGTTAAAATATATATTACCATACGTAAATCAGATTTGTTGGAACCATCCGGTATAAAATCCAATTTAAAAAATCTCTGGTTCAAAAGGCAAATTGATATCTATTATTTCTTGAATTAACTTTTGAATTCCTAACCAGTATTTATGGGTTTTCCCGCACATCCACCACATATGGAAATATATCCCCACATTTTTCTTACATTTCCAACAATTGTTCATTACATTTTGAAACATCTAGCTATTCTATCGGGAGACCAATGCCATCTGTGAAACATTTTATATATGTTTTCTTTATATCTTAATAGCTCTAGTAAACTTTGCTGTTTTCCAAATTTTTGCCCAATTATCTAGAGCTATATTATGGCCAATATCCTGCATCCAGGTTAACCATTGGTGTTTTGACCACCTCATCTTGCACATATTCATCTATCAATAAAACTTATAGTTTTTTAATCAATTTTTCGCCTGTACCTAACCATTCTTTATTCCCTCCCACGTTCACTCCCAGTTTCTGTCGGGGCTGTTCCTAGTTTCTGCATTTATTTTACAGGAATCTGCATTCCAGACCACTTCCAGCACACTGTTGCCCCGCAACTACCAAAACTCCTTTTGCTGCGATTCTTTGTTCTCATCTGCTTTTTGAATCGCTAATTCTCTGAAGTAGAATTGTTTCTGCAGATATTTAAGTGCTGCCCGCTGCCTTCCCCTGTTTCCTCCCCTCTCTCTTTAGGTTGATGCTCCTTCCCCATTCTGTTTCCTTTCCCCCCCTTCTCCAAAGACAAAAGAGGACATCCCCTCTCGCTCAGGCAAACTTTAAAAAATCCAGAGAGGGCATAAGACGGAATCGGTAAACATAAAGGACGAGGGGATTCCCTGTTCCCAAATGTGTCAGTCTTGCATGTGTGGGCCTGGATTCCCCCCTCCCTTCCCTTTCTTTTTGCAGAATCACGAAGGGAGGGAGGGGTTGGGTCTGCCGTTAAAAGTTTTGAAAGATGTTTGCCTTTCTTTTCATCTTAGGCAAAGCAGCCAGTTAGGTCAAAAAAATGTGGGTTTTGCTTGTAGATGCAGAATACATACAGAGTACACAAATAAATAAACCAGACGGGGGAAAACTAGTGCAGAGGGAAAGCAGGCGACTGCGAAGTCAACCCTTAAGGCTTGACTCCGGAGCAAGCTGTCAATGCAGAAAGGGCCCATGTTCCATCCAAAATCCTCTGTGCAATGGTGACTTTTTGCCCCTAGGTGGTGCTGTTAGTGTTACGTATTTCTGCAGACAAAGACAGGGGTTTCCCCAGCTTTACATATTAAAATGAATACTGCATTAACCACTTGTGATTCTCCTCATCGAAAACCAAGTTCCGTTTTGCGTGGCATGAAACCCGTGTTTGCCTCAGTATTTTAGTCCGTGCCGGCCTTATTTGGCTAGCAAAGCTCCTGTCTTTCCAGGGGTCATTGGCAGGAACTGGAATTAGAGATGGGAGCTCACTCCATCATGCGGCACCCAGGTCTCGAACTGCTGAACTACAGGTCATCCTCTGCCTCCAGTTCTGCTGCTGCATCATAGCTTGCTTCGCCAGACTCTCTTAATCACTCAGCCATTTCATGTTTTAACCTGGGTCCTAGACTCAGAACTCTGAGCATGAGATTTCTGTGGTGAATGCCAATAAATCAAAAGTAGGTTTGCAGCTTACAGATACACACTTGAACAGCATACTCAAGATTGCAACAGCACAGACATTTTGATGCAATAATTCAGAGCAAGAGGTGTCAGTTATCAGATACTGTTAAATAAACAAAATATTGCAAGAGTGCTAATGGTCTAAGCATGTTTTTATTTTAAGTTAAAAAAAAACCCCTTTGTGTTTGTGTCCTTTATGACGTTGATATCTCCACTACCTGGCATTACGTTTTATGACACGCGTGGCTCAGCCCAGCAAGGTCTCATTTATGTCAGATCCGGCCCTCATAACAAATGTGTTTGACACCCCTGCCCTAGATGATGGCTGAAAGGAGCATAGGGGGTTGTAACAGGAGAGATGGTCTCATAGAGATGAGGTTCCCAGACTGTTAAAATGAGAGCCTTAAAAACTGAGCCAGCTCACACTAACTCAGCTTAGCAGGAACATTGATCCTATCCCCCCTCAACCTCCTCTTCTCTAGACTGAACATTCCCAAGACCCTCAGCCTTTCCTCACAGGGTTTGGTCTCCAGGCCCACGATCATCCTTGCTGCTCTCCTCTGCACCCTCTACGTCACTCTCCTCTGTTTTTCTTCCTGAAGGGTTGAAGAGTTACAATCAGAGTTACGTATGACCTCGCTCCCTGGCATTTTGTGGATGGCTCCGCCTCCTGAGGCAGCCATTTTGTGATTGTGCCCACCACACGGTGTCAGAATTCCAAAGGTGCCCGTTGGCTCAAAAAGGTTGCCCCCCCCCTAATTTGCTGCAAAAATAGCTGTAGCAACCAAATGGAAATCGGAACATAGACCTACATTAAGTTTACGGCACACTAAACAATGGAATTTATTTATCTATAATGGAAAGATTAAAGGTAAAGGTAAAGGTTCCCTTGCTCGAAAGCCAGTCGAGTCCGACTCTAGGGTTGCGGTGCTCATCTCTGTTTCAAAGCCGAAGAGCCAGCGCTGTCCGAAGACGTTTCCGTGGTCATGTGGCCGGCATAACTAAACACAAAGGCGCACGGAACGCTGTTCCCTTCCCACCGAAGTGGTACCTATTTATCTACTTGCAATGTCTTGCTTTCGAACTGCTAGGTTGGCAGGAGCTGGAACTAGAGATGAGAGCTCACTCCGTCATGCGGCGCACTCGGGTCTCGAACTGCTGAACTACCGACCTTCCACAGCCTGCAGTTTAGCGTCTTAACCACTTGAGCCACCGCAGCTCCAATGGAGAGATTAACAGGCATATTAAGATCAAAAGGTATTGACTGAGAGTGTAGACTTTCCAGTTTCCCGGGGGGGGGGGGGCTGGGGCTGGGCCAGAGGCATTGCTTTGCTAGGAGCAAGGGTGGCTCCCGGGGGAGGCTGAGCACCTTCCTGAAAATTTCG